GACAGGGGTATCTAGAGTGGACACCCAACTGGAACACTCCATATTGTGGTGAGCAGCTGGACAATTTCGAATTCCTCGTTCGTTGATGGACGATTGAGCGGTTAGGTTGGAGGTGCAAGTCGGCGGGCGCGCAACACATGAAGTGACAAGTTTATGACTTGACAACTGCGGGCAGTGCAAACTTCTCAAGAGGTCAGGGGTCATGAGGGCTAATTAATAGAAGGCTGCGAGATATAACCTTAGTTGTTTGTGGTAACGATAACATCCATTACTATCCTCACTCTTGGCTAAAGGATTATAATTGACATTAGGGGGGGGGGGGGAATGTCAAATTTTGAAAATGGAAAAATTGCCAAAGTGTTATTTTAGAGACCAGAGCGCTTTTATTGGCGGACAAATTGCGTCGAAATGAAATGAGCTCCTAAAGGGAGAAGAGATTACGGTGGTCTTTGTCGAATAGACGAAACAAAATACACGACCTAATCTGCGAATATTCCGTTCGTGGATGTCATCACGCAGATCAACATGGGCGCAGAGTGAATCAATGCAAAGTTAGGGCTAACGATATCCCAAAACCCCATCTCCAAGTTGAATCATCCCTTGATGATACCCAGTTCGCATTCTTGCGCCCTCCCTCTATCTAGTGTTTTTTGCTTCACTTTTATAGCTCTCCTGCTCTTACACAGAACTAATTCTTCCTTACTTACCACGTTTCCAGCCAATGGCAGCTGACTCAGCAGCATTGATGGGAGGCAGGCAATCTTAGAAATTGTTCAAGGTTAAAAGTCAACTGATGGATTTCTTCACCAATCAAATTCAATGCGTTTCCTTGTTGATTGGTTCGCTTGCTTCTAATAAAAATTTTCTTGTTCTAAACAATATGTCTTTGGAAATAAAGAGGAACTTTCTATAATCCTGTATTCCATGAGATATTTATATGAATATGCGAATGCTCTCAACGATAAATTGAAGAAAGGAGAAAAATTAAACATAAACATTTACTGAAATTTAATTTTGAGAGCTTAAATTCAAATGTTTCAACTGTGTTTGTATAGTAAATTTCAAACTTACCGCGAAACTGTCAAATACTAAGTTCCTAGCTGACCAGTGTTGAGCAGGAGTGAAAACGGCTTTGATTCCAGTGTCACCGATTGGTTTTTCCTCCCACCACATGAACTCCTGAACCCGATCTCTATTGGCGTGACTCACGGTAGCAAGAATGAAAGCTCGAATACCACTGGGCACAAACCAATAGAGATTGGGAAATCGTTTGTCGAGGTTTTGCACCGAGTTCACATCGAGGTGGTCGTAGTGGTTGTGTGAAATTAAAACTGCATCAATATGAGGCAGATCATCAATCTAAAATTCACACACAGAAAGTTGAGAATTTCCTTCTGAGATTTGACACTCTTCGTTGAAGATCAAACAGTTTATTCAGAAAGATAGCAAGTCGAACACTTTAAGTCAACATTACGGCTGACAAAATATTGCCCTTGTTGGCACATTTGAAGTCTCGTTTCTTTCAAGTCACGATAACAACAGGCTGCGGCACGAGATGATTAACCAACATTCATTAATCGGCCCGTGATCCTACTAAGTACATTTGAAGTGAGCGGGTGTGTGATTGACTTACCTCCACGTGGTGCACCCTGGGCAACGTATACTCTAACGGCTAAAAAGTCTATTAACCAGCAGTTGACTTCTCACTTCAAACTACCACGGCCCGACTATTTGTCATATTCAACCCCTACCAAAGTTCTCATCTTACCTTTTTCTCTACCTTTGTGTCTGTCTGCCTCTTTTACATCTGTGAATCGCTCTTCTGGTCCCCACCCCTCGACTTTCTGCTACTTTGATGAACCTTCTTTCTGTGAAGCCCGAAGTCAGCTAAATGGCTAATGACAGCTATTATAACGCCTGCCATTTGANAAATCACCGGAACGAAATCTTTCAAACCAATTTCGACACCGCCTTTCTTCCTCACGGCTTCATCTCCATATACGGCACATAACTTCTTTTGTGCTTGCGATGCGTTCTTGCCTTTTCGGAAGTAATACAATAAAATGTGTGGGAAGTGCACGTCCTGTTCTTTCATTTTTAAATTGGGATAAAAACAAAACTAAAGAACTAAACAAAAAAATTTGTTACTAATTAACCTAGAAGCCCATACAGTAAGAAAAAAATATAGGTTAGATGCTCTGGCCACGTTAACAAAACAAAAGAAAGTATAGAGTGAATCTGTCAACAAAAACGGCAATGACTTAGTTGCCAACCCAATAGTTAAGTTTGTCCCAGTTTTGTGGACTTTAAGCTCGCTCCATTCTCCTCACTTTCCACTTGATTTGCATTATGTTGATTGACAGGCTGAATCATTTTGCCATCACTAGGGTGACACCAGGCCAAGCATACATTATCCACACACATATATATATGCGTCAGCCCATGTATGGCGTTTTTTTATAAGCCATTGCGCTAACTGCCCAAACGAAGACACATCTTACCGCCTACGCAAGAAACTGCATGCTGAAAGAGAACCTGGGAAGCTTTAATTTAATGCCAAGTCCAAACCACATTTCCACATCCAGCTCTCTTCTCTATTTTTATTTCGTTTTAGGGCAGTTATAAATAGACACCGCCTTTGAGCATAAACATAATCACTAACGCAGCCAGTAAGATTTATAACTTTAAAAGTATCGAAGCTGCTTTTCCATAGTTGTAGGAGTGAAAAGTAACATAAGCTTTATTTCTCGAAAAAAATAGCAGTAAAATTTTAAAGAATCATTAAATTAAGTGGAATGAGTTTAGCTAAAATTACTCATTTTACCATTGGCAATTCAATAGCAATCAACTTTCTATTTTAACTCTTCATTATGGCTTTCCAAAATCTTGCTTGAACTCCGTGTTAAACCTAGTTCTAGGTTAGGTTTAATGGAATGCTAATATTGGTCAAGAATTTAAACCACCCTTCAATTGATTTGATGGGAAAAGTATGCGTCAATGTGCACTCCGAAAATGTGTTGACTTGGATGGAAATATTGGAGTTGATGAAGTGAGGTAAAAGCGTGTTAAAAATGGCCAATGGAAACCCAGTAAACAGTCTTTACAAAATTTGTACTTGCTTATTCTGATGTGTTAATGGAAAGACGATTTTTGAAATGCATGTTGAGTAGTTGGGGTGCGCAATAGACTTACCTCCACATGGTGCACCCTGGGCAACGTATATTCATACGGCAAAAAGTCTATTAACTGGCAGTTGACTTCTCACTTCAAACTATCATCACCTCACTCTATGCCATATTCGACTATTTCCACAGTACTCACCTCACATTTCATCTACCTTTGTGTTTGTCTCTTACATCTTTGAAACACTCTTCTGTTCCCCCCCCCTCTCGACTTTTTTTCAGTTTGATGTTCCTTCCCCTCTGTGAAGACTGAAGTCGGCTAAAGGGCTAATGATAACCATCAAGACGCCTGCCATTTGATATAAATAAAATAAATNTATATATATATATATATATATATATATATATTTATTTCAAATGGCAGGCGTTTTGATAGATATCATTAGCCATTTAGCTGACGTCGGGCTTCACAGAGGGAAGGTTCATCAAAGTAGCAGAAAGTCGATGGGTGGGGGGAACAGAAGAGCGATTCACAGATGTAAAGGACGCAGACAGACAAAAAGGTAGAGAAAAAGGTAAGGTGAGTACTGTGAAAGGGGTCGAATATGACAAGCAGGGGAGTCGTGGTAGTTTGAAGTCAGAAGTCAAATGCCGGTTAATAGACTTTTTTGCCGTATGAGAATACGTTGCCCGGGGTGCACCACGTGGAGGTAAGTCTGTCACACACCCCAGCATATATATATATATATATAACTTATTTAGAAGTCTCATGAGGAAGTTGAAGATTGGATTTTCATTACCACCACTAACATAATTGCACCTTTTTCCAATGTTCGTTACAGATGTCTTCGTGTTACATCAGTGTTTGATGGTAAGCTATGTTTATAAAATTTCCTGTAATAATTGTACTACATATCATAGAAGTCTGAGAAATGGCAAAAAAATCTGTTCTAACATTTTAATTCATTTGCGCTTTCCTTCAAACATTAGCAAAGTAGCCTTCGGCCGAGAAATTTGACATTGCAGAACCAATCTCAACATCTATCTATCTTAAAAAGGACTTAGATGACAATAAGCCAACTTTTCAGTCTATTCAATTTAACAGAAGGAACATTGTCCTAAGGTTCCCTTTTAATGTAACGATACGTGCAGGGGGGGTGCACAATCTTAGCTCGATTAAGCATAGGACATATCAGCTAATTAACTTTTAATATTTATTTAATTAAAGTGAGATATATTCAATTATCGATCATATTTTCTGTAAACGCTATATTCGCAATAGACTTACCTCCACGTGGTGCACCCTGGGCAACGTATACTCATACGGCAAACAAGTCTATTACCTGGCAGTTGACTTCTGACTTCAAACTACCATGGCCCGACTGTTTGCCATATTCGACTCCTTTCACAGCAAACATCTTACCTTTTTCTCTACCTTTGTGTCTGTCTGCCTCTTTTTCATCTGTGAATCGCTCTTCTGTACCCCACCCCTCAATTTTCTGCTACTTTGATGAACCTTCCCTCTGTGAAGCCTGAAGTCAGCTAAATGGCTAATGATAGCTATCAAAACGCCTGCCATTTGAAATAAATAAATAAATAAAATATTCGCTCTACGTCTCTTTCCTCTATATCCTTGAGGTAACTAACCTTACACCGGATATCATGCTAAGAGGTTACTGAGGATAGGTCCAGGCTCACTCATGATGCACTTTGGTACATGTGTTTGCATTTTGATGGCACATTTTTGGAGTTAAAATAAAAATTCATAAATTCGCAAATATTTGCAATGTAATTTATGCAATTAAAACATGTTTTCTTTTGAAGGAAAATTGCCACAGTTAACCTAATTCATCAAATTCCAAGTATAACTTTTATCGATTTCTTTTAAAGTATTTATTTATTTATATCGAATGGCAGGCGTTTTGATAGTTATCATTAGCACTTTAGTTGACTTCGGGCTTCACAGAGAGGGGGAGGAACTTCAAAGTGAGAAGAATTCGACAGGGTAAAAGAAGAGCGATTCACAGATGTAAAAGGGACAGGAAGACACAAAGGCATAGAAAAGGTAAAATGAGGACTGTGGAAGGGGTCGAATATAACATACGGTAGGGTCATGGTAGTTTGAAGTCAGAAGTCAACTGCCAGTTAATAGATTTTTTTGCCGTATGAGTATACGTTGTCCACGTGGAGGTAAGTCTATCGCACGCCCCCATTTCTTTTTAAGTAATGAAGGTGATGGCTAAAAGTCCATAAGGAATGGTCTTCGTAAAACCAACGGAATGCTTTTTTCATCGCCCATAAATAGTACTTTAACGGTATATACTGTTTAAATCAAATTATTTGACTTAAATTTGAATAAAGACAACTTCAAAATCGATGTTTGAATATCTTGAGTANGATGATTAACCAACATTCATTAATCGGCCCGTGATCCTACTAAGTACATTTGAAGTGAGCGGGTGTGTGATTGACTTACCTCCACGTGGTGCACCCTGGGCAACGTATACTCTAACGGCTAAAAAGTCTATTAACCAGCAGTTGACTTCTCACTTCAAACTACCACGGCCCGACTATTTGTCATATTCAACCCCTACCAAAGTTCTCATCTTACCTTTTTCTCTACCTTTGTGTCTGTCTGCCTCTTTTACATCTGTGAATCGCTCTTCTGGTCCCCACCCCTCGACTTTCTGCTACTTTGATGAACCTTCTTTCTGTGAAGCCCGAAGTCAGCTAAATGGCTAATGACAGCTATTATAACGCCTGCCATTTGAAATAAATAAACATTTGAAGAGAGAGAGAGGTGATCATCAATAATTTGTTCAATCTTCTCAACTTCCGAAGGTACAAATAGCTGCCCGCCAAGTCAAATCTCGAGAAATTCGTTTTAGCACTACAACAATGCGCGGGTGTGATTCACAGCTGACAGCTAAATTCCAAATAGCACGGACATGATGCCTTATTCAAGAATGCGCAGACCGAATCCAGGAGCTACTGGATTGGACTAAAATCTCCGACGAAGCCAGAGTTCTTTAGTTGGAAAGAACTTCGGCCGTTTCAGTGGAGTATGATAGAAGTCCCCATTTTTCGCACGGTACCCAGAATGTTATTATTTTTATATCAAATGGCAGGCGTTTTGACAGTTATCATTAGACTTTTAATTGACTTCAGGCTTCACAGAGGGGAGGAACATCAAAATTAAAAAAAAATTGAGGAGGGGAGGAGGGAACAGAAGAGCATTTCAAAAATGATGCAAGAGACAGTCATAAAGGTAGAAAAAATGGTGAGGTGAGTACTGCGGAAGTATTCGAATATGGCAGAGTAGGGTGATGGTAGTTTGAAGCCAGAAATCAACTGCCAGTTAATAGACTTGCTTGCCGTATGAGTATACGTTGCCCATGTTACACCACGTGGAGGTAAGTCTATCGCCCACCCCGTACCCGGAATGTAA